CGAGTAGAGATAGCCGCCACTGAGAACGGATGATTCTCCCAGACGCGCCACGTCAATGTCGGGAAGTACAGGTAGACCTGGCCTTCTGCTTTTACGCCAGGAATAGTGATCTGGAGGTAATCTTCGTCTATAACCGTGATGGCCGCTCTCTTGACGCCGTGCTGCACCACCCTCATAGGCCTAGCCAGCATGCGGTCGAATATCCAGAAAGCGAACGTGATCCAAATCCAGGTTTGGTATCCCCATTGCCACTCGTATCGATAGAAGATATGCAGCATGCAGCCTATCATGGACAAAAGAGCGAGGACCACGTGCGATGCCAGAAAAGCTTCGTATAGCTTCTTTCGGAGTGGGAGGATAGACAGAGGCATGAGAAGAACCAAAGCCAAGGTAGCCACGATACCCCAGACCCAGTAATCCTCCTTTGCCTCCTTATCATACGCACCTTCGCCCTTCGCTGGGTCTAGGTAGATCTGCAAGTAGATAGCAGAATGTAAGCACGCCTGCAACATGCAGATTACAGCGATCCAGCGGTGAAGCAGAAGAAAGGTTGAGTAAGACCAGTCAGTGACCCAGAGGAGAAGGCTATTCCGGCTCGAGAAGAGGACAGCGAGGGCAAGATTGACGAAGCTCAAGAGGCCAACACGGTTGCTGATGTATGCCACAAGCTGCTGCTCGACAGAGATATACCACGACATGGGATCTCTGAGTTCGTATCCAACCGATGAAAGGATTATGTTGATGACCCAGATGTACGCGATGAATAGACCCTGGCCACGGGTGGGAATAAAACCAAGCCCGAGAACTGGGACGGCGTGGTAGCTTCCGAACAGAGGGGGGTTGATGAAAGTGGCATAGAATCGGGAGATGATGGATTGAGGAATTGGGAGGAATCGAAGGCAAGACAAGGCAATGGGGATGGCTACACAGGTAGCCATGAGAATGATTCTATCTTTCGGTTAGTGTCTGGAAACGGAGCTGTCGCCATGGCACATACCCATATTTCTCTGTCACAATCTCCATTTTCTCAAAAATATCATCGGCGTTAAAGTTGCTCAGCCACACATCCTCGGCCACAAGAGAAGTTTTATTCAGCACAGCTTCTGAGTCAAGGATGCTCTTGGGTGGGGATGCAGAAACAGAAGATAAGGCAACCTGATACGAGTACTTTGGCGAGGGTTGGGTTTTGAGCCTTCCCACGATTTCCATCTCCCAAACCCCCTCAATGGTCGAGTTCTTCACCTCTGGACAGTGTGTGTAGAAACACCACGCCATAGTTTGAAGGAATACATCATTGGTAGCTTTGCACTCTGGTGTTGCGGCAGCCATATGCATTGCACCCATATCTTCACCCATACCGTGGTCGTCGCCGCATTGCAGAGCCCATCCGTTGACTGTGTCGATGCACGCGAACGCGCAGGGAGGATCATACATGGAGATACCATAGCCGATGAGGCCGTATCGTTCGCGGCCTGACGTTGCCATTGCCTGGCAGAGGCCCACGAGCGCTAGAGTTGAGAGGAGTGGTCGCATGATGACGGGCAGTAAGGACACTCGGAAGTGGGCAATGATCAAGAGGGCAAACGTCCCAGATGAGATCCTTTTATATATATCCATGTACTCGGGATCTGTGGCGTCGACTGGCAAGGATTAGAGAGAGTTTTATCAGGTGAGGTCGCTAAGTACAGGCATCGATGTCAAGTAATCGTATCATTGGAATTTTGGCATGATATTGTGTCTCACATGAGAGCTCAGATACGCCATGGCTTATTATTCCAGGCTATACCAGTAGCCCAAGAGAATGATTGAGCAGATATTGACTGTTTAGTGGCTTTGTCTGGAACCCTCTAGCCTTGCAGGACCCGCTGCCACAGACTCGGAGTCAAGGAATAATTGAAGCTTATCTCGGGGAATATTAATCCAGCTCGTTTAAGGTCTTTTTCGTTTGATGTTTTGATACTGCTATCTTTTCATAGGCTGGACTGACTTGATTGTGTGGGGTGACCCCATGCCCGAGTGAAACTCGCTCAAATGCGCGCATTCTCCCAAGCTGTCGGTGGATCCTGCGAGATATAGGACTGGAAATCTGCAATTCAGCTAGTTAAGATTTGGCTGTCAGTTTTCTTTTGGACCTTTAAGGCTTTTCTTTTATCAGTGATATTCTTAGATAGCCACGATTTGATCGTTGTAGGCTATGTTCTCGTTAAATGAGGAACTCAAATTTCACACAACAATCCTTAACATACATCTCTATGCATGGGGAGGGATGACTAGTAGTCTCTTAGAAGCTTGGCGCAATAGGTATATATTAAGATTCGAAGGTAGGCCGTTACTAAAATCAACCCTCTCAGTTTCTGTTGCGTGGTTGGTTACTCACAGCTGGAAGGACCATATCGCATGGATTGACTAAATATATCTTTCCCTCAACCTATGACCCCATGAGCCACGTTTATTAACTTCTTCAAGTACCTGGATCCTTCGCGAGACAATGCCTGCCATGTCAGGAACCATGGCAAGCAGGCTTCTGCATGATATAATGGTTTGTTCAGGACCTGGTGGAGGTCTGGCCTGTTCCCCAAGCCTCATTTATGAGTTGCTTGATCGTTCGGGGCTTGATGTCTGGAAACTCCTGGTTTAGGGTCCATTCCGGCTCTAGATTAAACATGTCCTTCGCGACCATAAGTCCCAGGGTGGCAAGAACCCCCTGAAGAGCAGGCTTTGGAACGAAAGGGTATGCATGAAGATGTGATGGGAGCTCCGTAACCCTGCCCGCAGCCAGGTCCTCTAACGAGTCGTAAGAAACAGTAAATTTCACCCCCTTGGCATCCTCAGTTATCTTGAGGAGCTCATCTAGTGTGGCTTTATCACCCAAGATGTACGCCTCAGGCACCCATTTCGCCTTCTCAACGTAGGCCGCCACGAATCTTGCAACATCCCAGGTGTGAGTAAACACGATAGTATTATTTCCTGTACCCGGAATCGCAGCAGCGTTGTTTGTGACGTCTAAGAAAATGGCGAGGAGACTGAGGTGCGTCGGAACCACAGGGACGACGAAGTAATCAAGGAACAAGCCGTTGTAAATGGCCGTGTACTCGAGTGAGGACGCCTTCAGTAACTCAAGGCATTCGATCTTCCACTTGGCCGCTGGGAAATCCTTGATCGTTCTGTGAAAAGTAACGTTAGCCTTTAACAGTTTCTGTTAGGAGATGCGGAAAGGAGCTTCTACTCTTCGCTATAAGGCACGCCCCAAATGCTCGGAATGTATCGTTTAGTTATGGTTGACTTGTCTGCAGCACGAATAAGTGCTTCCTCAGGCCCGTGTCCAGTCATCATTTCCAGTGTCGAAATCACTGTCCCGATCTTGTTCTCCTCCAAGACTTCAGCTAAGCCTGGAATGTTTTCATAGTCCACAGTGATAATACGTGAGCCGAGCTCCTTTTCCTTTTCCTTGGATGTCTATTTGTTTGTTAGAAGTTAGTATCTTTGATACTAATTAAAATCCAAGGCCCGAGGGCGACAGAACATGCCTTGCGAGATAGAATGACCACTTCGAATTTGCCTGTGCCGTTGAGTGCGTCAACAATGGCACGACCAACGCCGCCAGTACCTCCAGCTACAGCGATGACGGTCATGGTGTAGAACTGCGCGGGGCGTTTATGTAGTGAGGGAAGTGGGGGGAGATAATACACGGTCAAGAATTACGGATCGAGAGCCTGAAGCAACAATTCTGGGACTAGATAAAGGGAATGAGGTTTGCCTGCTTCTTACATATGTTGTTGCGGAAAGATCCACCGCTATTCCGCAATGCGGAGTTTTACCTTATGGACTGCCGATATACTAGTCTCAGACGCATACTACTAGGATGTGCGGAAGTAAATGCTTCCGCGTTGTTTAGGAGGGCTTCTTGTTGGTTCGGCTTCGCATCCGAACGCTCCGTGTAAAGTATAATTCCTCGTTTGGACTCGAGCGTCGAGTCGTTAAGCGAAACCATTCTCAGGTGGGTGTGGCATGATCAACCCTTTGTAAGTATCCTAGGACAACAACTATATTTATAACATCACTCAGTTCTATAAGAACGAGCACCAGCAGTCTCCCTCTAACATATAGCCGGAAGGGGACAGAGCCAATTCGAAACAGATCCACATTCCGACCAGTAACTTAGGTATTCCTGGACGAGCGCCAACTAAGCAGATCCCGCCGCTGGATGACCCATGCACCAAGATTAGTATCACCACTCAACATCACTAGAACCTTGCACATCTAAAGAACTCCGCACTCGTGTCCGGATTCTAGCTATACTCCGCAATCACGCCCGGGTTCTAGCGATACTCCGCTCCGGGTTCCATAATAAGACTAAAGCATAGGCTCAAGCTAGTTGATAAACAGCCACCAAATAATCAGTTAGCAGACACCTCATTACCCTAGTCCATCCGCTCAATACTGTCAGATCTTGAATATGTGTTGAAAGTTGATAGTACTTATTAATAGCACTAAAGTGGTAGATAGTAATGCTCCTGTTAGGACTGCGTTAGTTGTGACAACTGTAATGCTTCTAGTAAAATACTCTGAGTGATACTGCCCAGAACGAAATCTGAGGGTTCGCTCCGATTGTTACTTTTGGTTCTGAAAGCCCTCTTCACTCTTAACACTTTTTTAGCACTGGTGTTATGATTGGAAGGCATAAAGTCCGACGCGATTACGAGATCCTGGATTTAACCTTAATAGTCCTTTTAGTTTCGGTAGTGTGCTTGGTTTTTCAAAGCTGGAAAGATAATATCGTATAACCTGACTAAATACATATTTCCCTCCACCCGAGACTTCATAGAGAAAACAGATCATAAGCTGGTAGATGCATATAAAAGTAAGTATTTTAAGTGGGAGGTAGTAGATAGAGAGTTGTGGAAGGGTCGATCACAGACTAGGGCGGTTGCTATTGCTGGTGACTTTCTTATAGACACCTAAGCCTTGCACCAGATATCAAATCATCACATGACAGTGATGGGCGAATGGTTTAGTGGTATAATACTCCCTTAGCATCTTCTCAACGAGATTTTCCTTCTGGGAGTGGTCCAGGGTTCGATTCCCTGTTCGTCCAACGAAGACAGTTCAATACTGTTATTATCCACTCTTTTTGCTTTCTAAATAAACCTCGCTCTCAATTCATCTAGATATAACATGTTCGCCATAAGTAGCAGAGCTAATCAGATGTTACCTTGATTTTACCTGGTAGTTTTGCTAAGGATTCTAGAATCATATTCTGTCCTCCAATTTGTAGCCTTGTTCTCTTATTTTTCTCAATGGTCTATTGACATAACCCTATTTCAGGTCTGAGGCAAAGGCCTACGCTGGTAAAAGCTCTCAACTTTACTACAAGAGGAATCTATCTGTGGAATTAGACTTTTAGGCACAGACAAACTGCAACTTGAGAGTATGTGACCAATAAGAAGATGAAGACTGGTTGATTTCAAGTACGACGCCAATCAGAGCTGAGCTTTAGCGGCCTGTGCATATCGCAATCGTATATTTTCTTATAATATATGTACGACGTAATCCCTTGCTATATCTTCTGATTGGCTCCAGCATCAAATATCGTAAATACACTAAGTGATGCAACTCAGGCTTAGCCTTGCAGCTTCTTAAACTTGATTAGGCACGACGATTCCTAGTACACTTTAGTATTTGCCAACGCAAAGCATGTAAGCGCCAGACGTACCTTGACCTTTGGGAATCTCTCATCGTAAAAGGTTTCGACACGAGCCGTGATGGCCGGGCTGGTATTCTCAAACCCAGGGGCTATTGAGGTCTGGAACTGTCGATAGATGGCAGCTGTAAGGGTGGTCATCTCGGCCATTGCCAGGCTGAGTAATGTCAGAAACAAACGCATAAATGACATAGCAGGGGTAGTCGTTAACTTACTGCATGCCGATACACATGCGTCCTCCGCTAGAAAATCCCCAAAACCACCGATTCATCTCCGCTGCCTGTGGTCCCAGCCAACGCTCCGGGTCGAAGACGAGCGCATTTCTGAACACGTCTGTATTTCGATGCATAACCCAAGGCGACATTCCAACAACCGTGTTGGCGGGGATTGTATAGCCGTCGACAGCGATATCAGCGTCACAAGACCGGGGCTCTGTGCTCGGTAGCGGGGCGTATAACCTCAAAGTCTCCTTGATAACGGCTTGGAGATATTCGCAGCGGTCGCTCGCTTCAACCTTGGGGTTGCCGTGCTGGTTCAGTGAGTCTCCTGATAGGGCCATGACTTCCTCTCTGAGCTTCTCTTGAATCTTCTCGTTACCTGGTAGGGAGAGCGACCAGAGAAGGAACATGAGGGTATCACTTGTGGTGTCAATGCCGGCAAGGAAATGGTCTGCGCATTCAGAAGCCATTTGCATATCGCGCATTCCACCCTTTTTCTGGGTCTCGTGGTACTGCCAGAGCCGTTCAAGAATCGAAACGTATTCATCTGTGTTCAAAGTCAGTCTCATAATTCTCCTGACTGGAGATATACATACCTGGCTCGTTTGTCAGTCCAACCGCATCAACCTCGGCTCGGAAACTCTTGAAAGCCCCCAGCGCATATGCTCGGATGCCAGTATATGTGGTAGGTTGCTGCATTGGCAGCACAGGCTTCACCAGTTGCGCGGTAACACCACTCTGCTGATACAGCCACTTGGTGAATGCCTTGAAGTGCACGATGAACCAGGATAACCTGCGCCGAGAAGGATGCAGAATATCAGAAATAAGCGCCCGGTGCATCTTGGAACCGCGGATGGCTGCTGTCGCGCCATACTTTCCGTAGACAAACGCGGTGATATTGTCGAGCGAATAATAATGCAAGGTGCTGAAAATCTCGCTGACAAGCTCTGGCTCACTCTCGATCAGATCCAGATACTGCCGAACCTTTCTCTCCACCATCTTTGTCGTCGCGGGCTTCAGCACGGCTGATTTGGAGTATGCATGCGAGAGCAACTTCTTTCGGTCACCATGCTCCTTGGGCGAGTGGAACGTAAACAGATTCTGCTCGCCGTACACATCGAACATGCGGTAAAAGCTAGTTCGGCCAAATTTGCTTCCCGGGCCGTAGATTGTTCGCAGAGCTGCGAGACTGTTGAAAGACACCTCGCTTGGGCCGATGCGCACTGCCGGGCCATACTTTTGATGTAAATGGTAGATGGTGCGGGTTCGTGTGCCTTTCCAGTCTTCATAGGCAAGTCTCCATTTTGTGGCGGCGAAGAGTTTGGGGCCGGGGATGTGCTTGAGGGGACTGAGGATGAGGGGATCTAGAAGGAAGTGCTTGATGAGGAGTGCAGCTGCGACAAACGCTGCGATAAGGAGGATGGCCATTGTGACAACTGCGTTGGTTCCCAACCGTATGTATAATTTGGGATATAACACAATGACGGTGGAAACGCACGTGGGTGACGGCGGTTATTTAAACACAGACATATCATTCCAAAATGATGCTAAGATTGGTGTTTCCCTTCCCCGCAGTCTTTGTCGTCGTAGGGCGTAGATAAGGCGGAACAAGAAGCGAAAATGCGGGCCTTGATTGCAGCTTAAAAGTCTGATCCAGTCGTTATCGGTAGTTTTTGTGTTGCTAACACGCAAATCTCGGGCACACGGCGTGAAGATGCCGACGGCTATCGGTCGTGAATACCGGGCGCACTACATTGATTTGGTTGAAGTTTGCTGGCCAGTCAGCGTGGAGGAATATCTAAGACTTTGTTTCCCCTCATTGTGAAGCTAACTACGGACGGTGAGCGTTGTGTTGTGATCAGTGGAACAAAACAGGCTGTGGTACCCGACGGAATGGCTTAAATTTGAGAAAGAAAATAACGGCTAACCGTTTGTAATTTTTCCTCACTTTCTCAAAGTGCCGGTCGATTAACAAACAATACACATCGTTTGCAAACGGCAGGTGAAACTTGATGCACAGTGATAATAGGCTCAACAAAGGCCTAGGACGTAATAAATGAACAGAATACCTTCAACTTTTCTATTACTATTGTATTGGTTGAAAGGCCCACGCTGAAAACTCATACCTTGAGGTTCGTCACGAAAATTGAAATTATTTTTTAAAGCTCAACAAGCCCCTACATAGCTGCGTTGGAATCAACTCCAGAGGCAGCCAGATATTAACGACTTCTGTAACTATACGCGCTATAATTTACGCCTGAGTTACAATCTCTGCCTCCGATCAGAGCATTAAACCAGTGGAGAGATACATTGGTTCAGAATTTATAATATTAAGAAATTACAATGTGACATAGGGTAAAAGGCTTGAAACCTTACACGATAAAAGACTACCTTATCATTATCGTTATCGCACAATCGATAAGAATATTAGCTGACATGTGACATCGGGCTAAAGTGAGTGAATTCCTTACTCCGGCGCTTTATTGCTTAGGGCTTAGGTTGATCACTCTGACGGCTCTTGATCATCATTACTTGGCAATCTTGGATGCTACGTAGAGGATTGACATTCTTTTGCCTCGGTAGGCAGGAGCATTTCTGACCCGCTTTATAACGTCACTTTAGCTTGCTTGCTGATACGCCCACTAATTGCTTGTTCAAGCCGAGTTGACGGAGCGTAATTGGGTGGGGTTGAATGCCTAGAATTCAACCCCGCGGTACATCTTGACAGCTTCATCCTGGCCAAGGACTTTTCTAGGGATTGACGAGCTGTGATTGAGACGACCGGTCTGCGATTGCTAGTATTAGGTTCAATCATTAGTTCTGGCTCCCCGTGGTATTTCCGTGGTTTTTTCTTTAAGCTCAAGATTGTAAAAAAGTAGCTATTAGATAAAGCTCATTTCGACATGTGTCACTGCTAAAAACAAGCTTTATCACAGATCGGCGATTTCAGGTACGCGTACCGCATCTCCAAGCGCACGGTATCATTTGGCAACAAAGCTCCTTCACCAGCACGCGACTTCCCGTTAAGCAATTGACCTACGTAGGAAAAGGAAAGTCAACGTTCGACTCCAGGGATTCTCAGGGTGAAAATCAGGGAAACGCCTGGGGTCCTCCAGGATCAGTTACGTAACCACTGCATCACCATCACGAAAAGCATGTGGGACAAAGAAGTGGCTGAACCATCCATCGCATTTGCCACAGAGTGCGTGGAGCATAATGAGTAACAATCATCTCAATTGAGTAGAAAACAGGGATTGTCTTTTGGTTGCTTTTTTTTCTTACCCACGTCGTCATAGATGTCATTCAGCCAAAGTGACGAACGATGACAGCATTAGCCACAACGGCTGCTAGGGCCCGACACAGGTCGGGGGCAGCTCATGGTAGCTAAAACCAGCTCGCGCCCCCTTCCATGGTGGCTTGTTACACCATCAACTCAACAACCTCTTATACTTCGAACATACTTTGAATTAAACAAACAATTTATTACACCTTTATCCAAAAAACCTAATAATTACCATCAATATGGCTTCCGAACTCCCCGATAACGCCCTTAGCAAGCTCGCCTCCTCTGTCAAGAACATTGTCACCGGCGTGCCCCTCGAGGACAATGACGTCGATATGCAGGAGACCAAGGTCGACAAGACCGTGGCCAAGTCTGCCGGCAAGACCAAGACTCTCGACAAGACTGTAGACAAGTCTGTTGACAAGACCGTCGAGGTCGACGACCACGCCACAGTACACAAGGAGAAGACCGCTCCTGTGGTGCACGAGGACGTCAAGTCCCACGAGCACGAGAAGGTCGATACTGAGGTCGACCACGAGATCCACCAGGACCACTACCATACCACCATCCAGCCCGTCAAGGACAAGAACGTCCTTCCTACCAAGCATGTCTACCAAGAGAACGAGGCGGAGCGGGAGATTGACCACCGAGACGACAAGGCCAAGAAGGCCGCTGAGGCTGAGGCTGCCAGAATCCGCAACGAGAAGGTTGTCGAGGGCACTACCCACTCAAAGGAAATTGCCCCTACACATGAGAACCAACACATCCACCAGTAAGTCATCTCCATCCACCTGTAATAACATCTGCTCACACATCACAGCCACATCCACGAGACGATCCAGCCCGTCATCGAGAGAGAAACAGTCCAGCAAAAGGTCGTCCACACAACAAAC